TAACAAATAAAAAAAAATAAGGGCACTACTTAACACATTTATATTAAATATAATTAAATTAAATTTTATTTATTTAATTAATTATCTCAAACTAGCATGTCTTACACATATCTTTGATAAAAAGTTCAAGAAGAATTTTTTTTATCTCTTAAGAAAATCTAATGTTAATATATTTTTATAAATTAATAATTTTTTAATAACTTGTATTAATTAAAAAAATATATTTTATAAATGATATTTGTAGAACTTTTTTTAATAGAACATATTTTGGCGATATGCTTTTTGATAAATTAGATTTTTAATTTATATTAGGTTTGACTCGATTTTGATTACATATACGTAAATTAATGTTCGATTTTGATTACATGTATATCAATTAATAATTTTTTAAATCAATTATATCATATTTCGTGGATTTATCTATAATATAAAATATGAAAGATTTCAATAAGTTCATACGACGGTTTCAAATAAACTCAGTCAACGGCCAACAACATCTCTCTGAAAATTATTCAGACTTAATGTTACCTTTTTCTTCTCACTCTTCACTTTCTCTCTCTCTCTCTCTCTGACAATGACAGATAAAGGAAGGGAGGAGAGGTCTTAGACCACCCTGATTTTTTTTTTTAAAAATTATATATGTTTTATATATTTTTTTACATATACTTAATTGGGGTCAATGACCCCAATAAAAAAATTAAATTTGGGGTCACTATATTGATTTATGAAAAAGAAAATTAATTAGATCAAATAAATTGGGTACTAGAACAAAAAAAGGAGTTCATACCAAATCTCTTAAAATTAGTAAACTAAAATTAATTCCTTAGAGTGTTGACATGATTTATTGGAGCTTCCTTTCGTTCGAAAATTATGGAATATATAGCCAAAAATGAGTAAAATATAGAATTTGTAAGAAAATTAAATATTATAGAATATTATTTTTATTTGTGTCAAATCTATAATATTAAATATGACATATTTCAATAAGTNCATTTAGACTTAATGTTACCTTTTTCTTCTCATTCTTCACTTTCTCTCTCTCTCTCTGACAATGACAGATAAAGAAGGGAAGGAGGGGTCTTGGACCACCCTGATTTTTTTTTTTTAAATTATATATGTTTTATATATTTTTTTACATATACTTAATTGGGGTCAATGACCCCAATAAAAAAATTAAATTTGGGGTCACTATATTGATTTATGAAAAAGAAAATTAATTAGATCAAATAAATTGGGTACTAGAACAAAAAAAGGAGTTCATACCAAATCTCTTAAAATTAGTAAACTAAAATTAATTCCTTAGAGTGTTGACATGATTTATTGGAGCTTCCTTTCGTTCGAAAATTATGGAATATATAGCCAAAAATGAGTAAAATATAGAATTTGTAAGAAAATTAAATATTATAGAATATTATTTTTATTTGTGTCAAATCTATAATATTAAATATGACATATTTCAATAAGTTAATTCGATGATATCAAATAGACTTATCCAACAATCTTTAACATCCCTTTCAAAATCATTCACATTAAATTTTTATCATCTCAAATTCATCACTTCTTACTTACATTGCATTGTATCTTCAGGCACGGGTTACCCCTAGTACTACAATGTTCANGTTTCAATAAGTTAATTCGATGATATCAAATAGATTTATCCAACAATCTTTAACATCCCTTTCAAAATCATTCACATTAAATTTTTATCATCTCAAATTCATCACTTATTACTTACATTGCATTGTATCTTCAGGCACGGGTTACCCCTAGTACTACAATGTTCATGGATAAAATTAGTGTATTGAAAATTTTTTTGGTGCCCTACTCAAAAGTAAAGTACATTAATTTCTTCATTTATAATTATTAATTAATATAATAAAAATAAAAAATAAAAAATAATATATTTATTAATAAATATAAAACTTAAAAATAAATTTGTAATATCAAAACTAAACTCATTCATACATCATCTTTCGAATTACAGATTAGAATTTTTTTTATCATATGTTTATTTAAATTTAACCTGACAGTACTTTCATAAAGAGGAGTCAGTGAGATTTTCCCGTGGAGTAATTGGTCATTAGGCCATCACTAAATCCTAGTAAAATTAACAGAAAATGCACAAAATTGGACCTTTCAGTAGTTTATAGCTAAAGACCATGTGGGGCCCATTACTTGTTGTCTACTTCTGCATGTGCGCTACGTGTCGCAGTCCCATACAAGCGTAATACTTCGGGTAGTGTGCTCGACGCGTAGCTAGATATGTCATGAGTACTTAAACGTCATCACTGACCTTTCTGTTGTGGATATGATACCATATTAAAATTTATATTTTTTTGACATCAAATTATTATTTAAAAATAATATAAATTATATATTTTAAAGATAAAGTTACAACCGATGAACGGAATTCATGATCAATCAAATCAGTTCTTGTTTCATCGTAGAATAACTTCGACCAACTATAATTTTATTCGGGGATAACAACGTCACTTAGTCACTTTGATCTATTGATATTTAAAATATTATATATAGACCTCTTAAAATTTATATGCGCATAATACTTAGTCTCTTAATGTAAATACATCTATTAATAAATTATATTTAAATTCCTCCGAAGTTTATATGTATATAATATTTAAATCTCTTAAGTTTAAAATGTTATATTTATATGAAAAATATTTTAATTAAAGATAAAATATCATATATTTTAAATTTTATAATTAAAATTTATATTTTATTGTATTATTTATTAAAATAAAAATAAAAATAAAAATTTAATTTTTACTTAAAAAGTCGTAAATAATATACAAATTATCTATTAGAACGTGACTCAGTTGACATTGTACCGAGAGAAATTGAAAATAAAGGATAATAGAAGAAATCTAAACCCATGATATCTCTATGTCCAGTTCAATCGATAAGTCCACACCTAAATTCCAAGAGACCCAAGACCTTCCGGTTTTCGGGTCGGGTTTCGGGTCTTACGGGCCACCCAAACCACGCACTGGTTTCTGTCGTCCCCTTCCCTTTGTTTGAATAACTCTCATAAAGGACTACTACATCCTTTTAATTTTTGGCTATGATTGCTAAAAGGTAAGTTCAGTTCTTTATGTTTGTTCAACCGTAGGGTTGTTTGGCCAGTTGCACCTCAATTATATTTACAAAGAAAAATCTCTTCTGGACCCAAGAGGTTGTTTTGATTTGAACTCAGGAGGTATTGATTGACATAAAATAAGTTCAGTTCTATATATTCTTTGCGCTCTTCCGAGAAATCTTTCAGTTCAGTTCTATACAGTCCTTGAGCTCTTCCCAGAAATCTTCAAGTGTGTTGTGCATTCAAAATAAGAATTCTTTTTTATTTGTGGATTAATTTTGAGATTTCCAGAGATAATTTGTTCTCATGTGTCGTTCTGTTAGTAATGATTCTGGGTTTTCAATGTTTTCTTTTATGATTTGGATGATGAAGTTCCGAAGGATAACTTAGCTTTCACACCCAGTGGAAATTTTGAGTACTACTTTTAAATAGATTGTGTTTTAGACAAGAAGTTTATCATATTTCAGACAAAAGTTACTCTGTCTTGTTGCTGTGGTTTCCTTTTAGGCAAGGACATTTAGTTCATCCCTTAATTATAACTAGTGGATTTCGAGTCCTTGTCTCCACAGTCACACTTATGTTTGGGAATGGTATTCCATGAATATGATGAGGGGTGTTAGAGTATTTCTATTGATCGGTCATGCCATATAGGTCCCAGCTGGACATCCAATTGCTGTGGACAGTAGTAAGACATCTATGATGTTCCATTGTTCCTTATTTGCCATTTGTGCAATTGATTTGCTTGCTGGCCAACATGGTCTTGGTGAGGTGTGGGAGTTGCTCTAATTTCCAGGATAAGGTCAGAAACAATATCGAAGCCTTCATCAAGGACATGAGATGTATCAAGTTCACTTGGTTTACTTGCAAAAAATCGTAAGCAGCTCAAATATAGTGGGTACTTGTGGAATTGTGATCAGAATTTGGATTCAATAATGAAAATGTTCACTTTATCTTGTGTTGTCGAGTTTTTCCTCTCCACCCCACTTGCAAATCTATCCATACATCAACTGCAAATTTGTCTTTTTTGTATCTCAACTTTGCTCTTTATTTCTAAATTATTCAGGGGCTCAATAATTCTCGAATCCTGTTGTTATTATGTCAACTCTGTTATTGGGTGCTTATTAAGGCTCAGAAAGATTCTGTGTTACTTGCTTGATTGGATTTCTATAGTATGTCTGTACAATGCACTGCTGCACCTATGTATTCCAAGTTTCAGTAGGGGATTTTTTTTTTTTTTTTCTGTTGATTGAGAATTTGGATGAAGTGAATGTTGTTCATAGAGTTTAGTTCAGCTGTATAAATGTGAATAATTTTTGCGCTGCTTTGGTTACTTTACGATTTATAAATTATAATATCCCATGGATTTGTCAGTTCTCTCATTTAGTAGAAATTGTTGTTATTTGTGTATTCACTATTCTGTTGTTCAGAATCCAAAAAAAATAGGCTCAAATGCATATCAGAATTATAGTTCATCTGTAGCAATTCTATTTACTGTCTCCCAGGCGGCGTGTTCCTCCCCATGAGAGCTTTTTACTCAGCCTATTGAGAATCGATTCAGCCTCAGTTATGAAAAAATTTCCTATTTCCAATTGTGAGCTGTGAATTTTTTTTGTTCCTTCTCCGGTGAATGTTTGTTTCCTGCAATGGCAAACTTTTGTCTGCACCATCTCTGGTGTCTTTCTTTGTTTGTAGCAGTTACCACACCAATACTAGTCCTATGTGAAATATTGAGATAATTCAAAACCAAATTGGGAAAAATCTTATCATTGGATATAGGAACAATACAACTATGACCAGGAAACATGGCAGAAAAGGAAAGGTCTTTTCATTGGCTCTAGGAGCAATACAGCTATAACCAATAAACACGTTGGGTCTGATTCAAATTCTGATGGTAGTCTATGTTGCAAGGTTGGCACTATGACTTCTCGACCCTATTTATATATAAAGTGGAAATAATGGAAAAAAAAAAGGAACTAGCCCCTGATGCGGGGAGAAACAAAAACTGAACTCATATCCAAGACCGGAAAAATTATGACCCCTAATTTAATCTCAGGGGAGTACTGTCGCTGATGATGTCAACACACAGGCAGATCTGCCGGAGGAGGCTCTAACGCTTCCAATTCTCCAACTCCATTCTCTACAAGGAAAGCCATGGCCAGTCCCCAGGTGATGTGAACATCCAAATGACAATGCATAAGCCAAATTCCTGTTTTTGCCAAGTAAATAAATTGGAACATCAAATTGTGGAGAAATTATTACAGAAAACTGACTCGAATGCAGACATATTAATTTTTGTAAGACTAGTCTGTACTGTTGTTACCTGGATTATCAGCAACAAACCTAATGACTGCCCATCCGCCAACAGGTACACTAGCTGTATTCCTAAGAGGTGGATCCACAAGGTTGAATTTGGATGAATCAGTTTGAGGATTGAAGTTTCCAAAACCCTCTGCAATGATGTAGAAATCATATCCATGAAGGTGTATTGGGTGATTCTCAGCCGTGAAGATACGAGTTCCCTGTAACACTACTTGCACTCTTGCCCCATAGTTCAATTTGTATACCTTAGTCGCCGGAACAGGTTGCCAGAGTGAACGGCTCACATTACCAGTGTAATCAAATTTTACTGGTGGAGCTGCTGGAAAATCAGTACTGAAAACCCCAGGAATCCCTTGCTTATGGGCTTGCAGCAAGGAGAAGTTGGAGGGGAGCACAAAAGATACATTATTGATACTGGCGGTGAAGCGAGTTCCATTTGGACCCTGACAGTTTTGGGCACTGGCACCTGTGGGGCACTTATTGATTCCTAGGCCAACTGTGAAGACAAGGCTTTCGTCAATATCAGTGGGAACTGGGACTTTTTTGGGGCTTCTGAAGCTGGTTGTGAAGGCTGTGGCAGTGGCTGTGTCGTTAAATACAGGAAGAGATGGGAGAGCAGGTGATGTTGAGACATTCTTTGCAGCCTCGTACTCAAGGATAGCTGTGGTGGTAGTGTTGTCAAAAGGTGCGCCTTGGGCACTGGCATAGGCACGTGCTGCCATGTAGTATCGAGCTGGTTGCTGATCTGCAGTGATTAGGACATCGGTGGTTTGCCCTGGTCCGAGCATGAGGACTGATGTGGTGAAGGGTTTAACATAGGAAGCATCGGCTCCAACAACAGTGAGCTTGTGGTTGGCAATTGTGAAGAAAAGCTGTTGGTTTAGTGCAGAGTTAATGATTCGGAGGAGATTGGTCTCACCGGAGTCCACTGGAACTATGACCGTATCTGCATCAAGGGGTGATCAACAGTTCATTTTTTTGATATATTTATGTAACATGATATGAAATTAGTCGAGTTGAGGACAATCCTAGCTAATACATAAGTGGCGTATGTCCTATCCTTCGCAAGGAGTGGTTCATTTGTGTCATCATGGTCCAGCTCTTATCCGACAATGGGAACTTACGTTTTCTTTTGTAGAGATCTTATCAAGTAAGCCTTTCTACTTGCAAGGATTAAGCTGTATATATTTAACCCTCCCCAGACCCCGCCATGGCAAGGGTCTTGTGCGTCGGATTCGTCTTTTTAGATCTTGTCAAGTAAGTGACAGTTTTTTGTCTAATCAAACCATTGGCTATCTATCTGCATAAGAAGGCAATGGTCGTTGGTCCTCCGTGTACTCTGTTATTCTGTTATATCTTAGAAATTTTAGTGTTCTTAGTTTAGAAGAGTAGTTATCTGATCTTAAAAAATGTGTTGCCATCATGTTCCCCAGGCTGATTTTAAATTGCACTATGATAGGCTCCTGCCGTTGCTAAAGGTAAGATTTTAAAGCTGCTGAAGCAATTTCTTTAAAAAGAAGAGCAAGCAAGATAAGGCTTTTCAGCTGTATTGTGCAGGAGCGGTCAAGCGCCCTATCTTACTTAATAAAGGGGCTCAAAAGCTGCGAAGAAAGTCTAGTTGCTCTAATCGAGCTATGAAATCAGTGATAAATTTAAAGCAAACCTTTGCTGGAGCAGTTATAGAGGTCTCCGGGTTGACCATTGATGGTATATGCATCAGATACATTTGGAGTTGCTCCTGTTCTTGTGGCCTGCCTCACTACATCAATGGGGTTTGCATCCCACCATTCACCTGTTCATCATCATATCATCATCATCATGATTCATCAAACTGAGTAAATTCTTTCTATTTCAATGTATGTCTTACTGCAGGACAAGGGATCATTATACCAAGAAGTATGGGCAGTTCGCGCGTTGGCTTGGGGAACGGATAGGAGTCTCCTTCTTTCGGGCGAATGACCAGAGCTCCATAAACAGTGGCTCTGAGCCATGAGCTATGCGCATGCCACCACAGTGTACCTACCTGTCCTTGAATGGTAAATCTGTAAGTGTAACTCCCTCCTGGCCTAATTGGGCATTGAGTAATGAATTCTGGTCCATCGGCCCACCCTGTTCTCATCTGCCTCACGCCATGCCTGGATAAGGATAATTTCGACAAATTACAAATCAACTCTAATATGGGACTGTCCAAGGGCAAGTCACCCACATGAAGCACGGATATTTTGTCTAGGCCGACGTACCCATATCCGATATCGTATTTATCGGATATTCAAAGATACGTATCCGATAATTAATAAAATATATGGACACTTCGCAAATACTTTTACTCATGAAGCAAAATGTACAATTTTAAATTTTAATCTAAAACTATTCCTTTTGAGTTTATATACAATACAAAATATCAGTAAAATTCAACTTAATTTTGAAAACATAAGTATTTTTGTAAGTATTATCTATTATAACATGTCAAAAGAGTATAAAGAAATGAGTTATTTACACTATAACTTTTAAAACATATATTTGTAAATAAATCAACTAATTACATGTAGGGGTGTCAATTGTGTCGAGTTAAACGGTTACGGTTAAACGGATGACGGGTGAAAAATATATAAATTTATACACAACACGTTTAATAAATGAATAAAAATTTTAACACGAACACGAATCGTTTAATAAACGAATAACACGACACGACTCGTTTAACCCATTTAAAAATAAAAAAATAATTTTCTTTTTTATTATTTTAACAAATTTTTACACTCCATTTTTTTTTGTTCCTGGTGTACTTTCCTCAATTTAAAGAGTTTCGTCTAAAACCAACAGCCAACGACCATAGCCAACAGTCATAAGTCACAGCCGATCAGCTGAAAAGCAAGAGATCCACTACCCTTTTTATAAACAACCAAATCTCCATCTCTCCACTCTTTCCGGTGATGTGGGATTCAAAAAAAAGGCAATTCAATGCCTCAAACTGATTTTTTTACTTCTTTTTTTTTTAAATGATTTTTTTACTATTTTTTTTTACTCATTCATTATTTTATATGTGTATAAAATAATTATTAATTTATTATTATATTAAATTTATTTAAACGGGTTGACACGTCTCACCTAAACACGACCCGTTTATTAAACGTGTTTAACGAGTTAACCCGTTTACCACCCAAACCCGTTAAGGTCTCACCTAAACTCGCTTAATTCTAATTCCTTTAATTTTAACAGGCCTAATCACATGTTAGTTCTAATTCCTTTAATTAGTCAAATTCACTTTATGTATATATCATAATGAGACGATATTACATATTTTTCAAGGTAAAAATTACTAATTTTGTGTACTATTGTTAAAAAATTATTAAAAATTATAATTTTTAAATTGTTCAATAATGCTAAAATATAAAATATACTTTATTATAAATGTATTTTGATTGTACTCGTACCTTAGTTTTTTAAAGTTTTATTGTATCGTCATATCAATATCGTGTTATACTTATATCCGGTATTCTATTTCCTAAGCCACAACCCAAATAAAAAGATCCATAGTCCAGTCCATCCTGAACTACACAGCATGGCCAGGCTTTCCGGGCTAACTATTCATGGACCGGGCTAGCTACCCATCTTCGCTCCAAACATTTCATAAGGGCGGTCGGGGTCCAAGGCTGACCTGGTCTGGCCCAAAAAAATTTCGTCCGGGCCCACGGACAGTCCTACACATGTAAATAAAATTGTATATTTGTGTAATATAGAACATGCTTGTAAGGATGTAATTACCAGTGAACGGTGAGGTTATACTGAGCTTTGTTGACGACGTTGACAACCAGAGTGTCACCGTCATTCACTTCCAAGGTTGGCCCTGGGTATTGGCCATTCACCGTAATGGTGCTATGGGTATTGCACAGCCTCTTCACTGGTGTTGCTTGAACCTTGTTGCATTCCAAAAATGTTAGTATACACAAGAAGAGCAAGACAAATATTTAAATGAGGGTGAAACTGCGATTCAATTTGTTAGTGGTTATGACAAAATGGAGTTGTTTGCGATCAATCGTAATATTTTAATATCGATCTCAACTTTTTCTAAAAGTCGTAACTAAACTTAGCTTTTGTTTAGTTATAACTCGACCCAAATGAGTAGTGACTAACACCAATTTACTTGTAAATTTTGGTGGGAAAGGATACATCTAGAAGTCAAAAATAACAAGGAGAGAGAGGAAAAAAAATACTCACTACAATTACAACAATGATATATTATGTGACAATGCTGATATGAGTGGTATCATTAACCAATAATATCAAAATAAATAATCAACCCTTAATGTAAGTAAATAATTACTCATTCTTCTTTCATGTAAGTCAATAACTATCTAAGTGGAGTTTACCTTATTTACTGGTGCTTTATTTTTAGTTGGTTATATCACGTTAGCATTGTTGACATGTTATCACAGTTGTATTCAATATTTTATATATATATATATATATATATAGAGAGAGAGAGAGAGAGAGAGAGAGACTTACAACAAATTCATGGGAATGAGTTGTTGCATTTGCAAAGGACAATGCATTAGCAAACAGAAGTAAAATGCCAAAGGAGCACAAAGTGGTGGCAATACTTTGGAGGGCCTTCATCATTAATGAAGCCTTAGTTGAATGATGGTAATGGTGTTAAAGCTTAACTTGTGGAAGAGTGAGGGAGAGGGTTTTCTTATATAGCAAAAGAAGAGGAGAGAGAGAGAGAGGGTTGTTTTGAGGTTGGCTGATTAGGTTTGTGATTCAGCATGAATGGTCAACGTCAGATACTCAGATTCCAGGGCAAACTTAGTTCAACCCTGTAGGAGTTGGTGCACCCACTGGCCTATGGAAGTGAAGAAATTTCATTAAACGCTTGCTTCACAAGTCTCCTCTTGCCTTCAATTTCAACACATCATCATTAATATAAGGTTTAGCTTAGAGGAAAAAATTGGCTTTTCTTTCTAAATAATTTTTTTTTTTTTAATAATCAGAAGTATTCGAGTTAGCTTATGTATATCTCGACTAATCCCTTGTCCAATCCGACTAAAGGTAGACCATCTACACTGGGGTTAAGATATTAATGATGGATAAATCTCTTATAACCTGACCGCAAGAGAGTATTAAAATTTGAACTTACGACGTCTGAATTTACAACTCGTCTATGTTACTACTTATAATATCCATTAATGTTATAAATGAATATTTTTGTATGCATGCAACTTCATCTTTCATGTGTACAAAAAATAATNTGCAAGAGATTATCAAAATTTGAACTTAGGACGTCTGAATTTACAACTCGTCTATGTTACTACTTATAGTATCCATTAATGTTATAAATGAATATTTTTGTATGCATGCAACTTCATCTTTCATGTGTACAAAAAATAATTAACCTTTTTTAATCTTATANCGCAAGAGAGTATTAAAATTTGAACTTACGACGTCTGAATTTACAACTCGTCTATGTTACTACTTATAATATCCATTAATGTTATAAATGAATATTTTTGTATGCATGCAACTTCATCTTTCATGTGTACAAAAAATAATTAACCTTTTTTAATCTTATACAAGCAAACTAGTCAAGCCCATTCCTTTTCTATTAAGCTATTATTTTTTGTCAAAAAGTCATACAATTGGTAAAGCCATTCACATGGGGACATGCCACTCCCACAGGAAAAAAAAAACACAAACACAAAAACAACCCAAAGCATTGTGATAGGAGGGTAAGCTTATGATAGCGATTTGTACTGAAAGTTACTAGCAAATAGAAGTCAGTTATAACTCATTTAGAGTCAAGTTATGATTGTCAATGATAGTTATGATGCCATAGGGTACGTCACAATTCCAAAANATCATTTATAGTCAAGTTATGATTGTCAATGATAGTTATGATGCCATAGGGTACGTCACAATTCCAAAAAAGAAATTATACCGATCATAAAATCTTAGAATTAATCATAAAATTCTCATGAATACGTTAGTTCTAGCGTGGATGACATACTTTTGATCGGATTAGAAAAGAGATTAATTGAAATACGCATAAATTAATCTAAACATCTTGACCGTTGAAACAATAACCACTCAACAACGTAGGAACAAAGAAACCTACAGAAGGGGACAGGGAGAGTGCCATCCATTTGGTTTGGTCAAATTGACCATAGCGTGGGGGGCCTGGGGGCTAACCTAAGGGCCTGGGAAAAGTAATGTTCTGATTGTTTAGATTGCAAATCCTTTTGTTAATGGGGCACAGCCAAACAATATGAAGCTATGGTCTTGAGGTTGAAGACTATTCTTACATTTTACTCATTCCATTTAATATATTTTGTCTTAATTTCCTTCAGTGATAGATCACATTATTTATTAGTCAAGATTCATTTGTGTATAGTGGGTTTCTTTTGAATTTATTATGCGTGTTCGGAAATAATGAGTCTGTTTGAAATTAGCTTAAATAAATAGTTTTGAAGAATTTTTAGAGTAAAATAAATCAAGTTTGTTTGAATCTTGACTTTTTTACCAATTTATGCAGCACTTTTTTGAACTCAAAAAGGCTTATTTATGTTGATTCAAGAAGTTGATTTTATTACTATTTTTTTTCATTTTTTTGGAGTTTTGTTGTAGGTTTCACATAACTTTTAAATTTATTATATGTATAAAATATTATTAGTAATGAAAAAAAATTTAAAATTCATATTTTGTGAACTATTATGCATAATTGTTCACATAAAATTCAACGTTTTTAATTTTTTAAAGAATACCCAAAACGATTTTGGGGGATTTTTTTAAATATTTTTGCGAAATTTTTTAAATCCCAGTTATTTACCTAAAAAAGTCAATTCCAAATAGACCTAATGTACAAAAAAAGATATATAAATTTAGTTTTACACGATAGTAATTCAATCACTAGATCTTTNAATTGCCTACCCCCCAAAAAAAAAAAGAAATTTGATTCACAATTTTATAGATTGGATTGCTTGAGGTTAATAGCATTATTCATTAACAAATTCTTAAACTACAAGTAAAATGATTTATCCTCCTACTCCATTGTCTCAAAAGCATGGTTGGCTACGACCTAGAGACAATCTCCAACCCACATTAACAGGAGTGACAACCGTCAATTCTCTGTTAATTGAAGCATATGTCAAACAAAGAGATAGAAAAAGAGACAATTGATTATTGAAAAAAGAGTGGACAAAAGTGTCAAGAAGTTGGTAAGTTTGTTACTAACTTTTTTTTGACGAGATTCAGAAGAAAAATAAGTACATAACATGGGAAATCATTAAGCACAGTGGAAAAACGAAGCATTGACTCAAGATAGGTAAAGGTTACCCGTCAAACTTGTCTGGTTCCTTTTTCATGAAAAGATAATCTTAGTTGGTGATGCTTCTATTATTTTTAGAATTGATTCTGACCATTTTTATTGTAAGTTCAACTAAAAAATAATTATTTCAAACAAAAAAAAAAGTTATAACTTCAATATAATACGAGTACCCAAGTTTACCCCTTCTATCGTTGTCTGATTTTGAATTAGAGCCGGGTAGTTTTGTTAATGAGAACTTTTTATCAAAAGCTAGTTGTTTCAATTTATTCTTCAAATTTGTTGAAGTATAAACATTTAAATTATTCTATCTCTAATGGCTAAAGTTTTTAGAGTAGATGATTGGTTAATTTGGTATCAAAGTAAGATAACCTGCACGTGTGGGGACGTGTTGAAGTATAAATATTTAAATTACACACTCTAACAATTTAAACTTTTCGAGTAGATGATTGTTTAACAAAGTTAGTACGTTTTTTGTGAAAGCGGTGGGTTGAATCTACACTTTTTAATCAAAGAATATATTTGTAAAACACACTTTCGAATTTAAAATAAGTTGAAAAACTGCCTTATTTTGGTAAAATAAACTAGTTCGTGATATTTCCGTGACAATAACTCAGTGACACACTGATCATAATGAAATAAAACTTGATGGCGTTCTTGTTTTNTTTTCAATGAACAGAACATGCATAAAACTCTACACTGTTCTTTTACTTATAACAAGTCTCTAGGTTGCCGTTCTCAAATAATTGAGATAAAGACTTTGTTAAATTTAATTGAGTTGTAAGCGCTCTAGGTTGATATAAATTAGTCACCTTTTTGGCTACCCTTCAAACATGAGTCGAGTAAAAATAGAAGAGTAGACAAAATTTTTAATTGTATGACATACTTTTGACTAGATCGAAGAGAAAATTAATCGATATGTNGTAAAATAAACTAGTTCGTGATATTTCCGTGACAATAACTCAGTGACACACTGATCATAATGAAATAAAACTTGATGGCGTTCTTGTTTTTTTATTAGGATTAATAATATTTTTTATCCTTAAAGCGTGCACGTTCTATTAATGTTGGAGTATAGATAGTCTAGGTTTATTAGGATTTCTTTTCCCTTTTTTACCCTTACTAAGATTTTTATATTTTGCCTAAACTACAAGGATGTTTAAGTCACTCTGTATTATTTTTGGATATATATACGGGACTCTACTCTTAATTTGAGTATCCCTTTTNGAGGAGGAGTAAGTAAAATTTAATGTGAATGGTCTTGAGATGGATGTTGATAACCGTTGGATGAGTCTATTAAAGACAATCGGATAAACTTATTGAAGTCTGTCGTATTTTATATTATAGATATGAAAGTAATAGTCCATTTGGTCAGTAAATTGATCAATAAATTTGATCAAAGTAATATTACCAATTGCCTACCCCCCAAAAAAAAAGAAATTTGATTCACAATTTTATAGATTAGATTGCTTGAGGTTAATAGCATTATTCATTAACAAATTCTTAAACTACAAGTAAAATGATTTATCCTCCTACTCCATTGTCTCAAAAGCATGGTTGGCTACGACCTAGAGACAATCTCCAACCCACATTAACAGGAGTGACAACCGTCAATTCTCTGTTAATTGAAGCATATGTCAAACAAAGAGATAGAAAAAGAGACAATTGATTATTGAAAAAAGAGTGGACAAAAGTGTCAAGAAGTTGGTAAGTTTGTTACTAACTTTTTTTTGACGAGATTCAGAAGAAAAATAAGTACATAACATGGGAAATCATTAAGCACAGTGGAAAAACGAAGCATTGACTCAAGATAGGTAAAGGTTACCCGTCAAACTTGTCTGGTTCCTTTTTCATGAAAAGATAATCTTAGTTGGTGATGCTTCTATTATTTTTAGAATTGATTCTGACCATTTTTATTGTAAGTTCAACTAAAAAATAATTATTTCAAACAAAAAAAAAAGTTATAACTTCAATATAATACGAGTACCCAAGTTTACCCCTTCTATCGTTGTCTGATTTTGAATTAGAGCCGGGTAGTTTTGTTAATGAGAACTTTTTATCAAAAGCTAGTTGTTTCAATTTATTCTTCAAATTTGTTGAAGTATAAACATTTAAATTATTCTATCTCTAATGGCTAAAGTTTTTAGAGTAGATGATTGGTTAATTTGGTATCAAAGTAAGATAACCTGCACGTGTGGGGACGTGTTGAAGTATAAATATTTAAATTACACACTCTAACAATTTAAACTTTTCGAGTAGATGATTGTTTAACAAAGTTAGTACGTTTTTTGTGAAAGCGGTGGGTTGAATCTACACTTTTTAATCAA